AAATAAATTCTTGATTATGATCGATTATTGTAAATAATGATGATTTATCAAATTCTGTTGATTGTAGATTTAAAAATACAATTGTTATTTGACTATTTGAAATGAATGATGAAAGTAATTTATGGGAATTATAAATTGGTAAAAGTATACCATCAATTAAACGTGATTGTTTTATCGAAGAACCGCTTGTAACAAAAGATAACTGTTGATTATAAATCAAATAGTCATCGATTCGATCGAGATTATCTAAAGAAAAATACAAATGTATGTCTTGTCAATAAATAAAAAGAACATCTAAGTGCAGACTCCATGGAAGACCAAAGTGTAGAACTCACAAACTGATTGTTATAAATTTATGGTACATTGGCAGAAAGAAATGTCAAATAAACCAAAATAATAACAATCTTCATAGCTGATGTACGTGCTCTGAAATTTTATCATTTCGAAAATATTTGCAGTTACAATTACGGTTCTACCAATTTATTAGATTTATTTAACATCGTTATTTGTGTCGTCAAATACATATTCAATACAGAAGTTTTTTTTTGCTAATGATAAAATATACGATAAATGCTGTAGGAAACGAATAAATATCTTTTGATTCTTCGTTATAGTTAGTTCAGTCATCATATGAATCTGTTATATACATTGATTAAACGTTCATACCATTCTATTTTCATTCTCTTCTGATCGGAGATTGAATCGGTACCAATTGCAGACTGACTATTACTTGAATTTCTTATTTATGTTTTTGTTCCTATCATCTCATACAGGAGGGTGTAATAAAACTTTGCTAAAAGTTGACTACATCAAATATCACTATCCATAAATGGAATAGTACGTGAATCGTCAGTCCAGTTTAGTCTACACAGACCATTAATGATCGTGTAAAATCGAGATCGGCTCCATCTCTGTTTCTGATTCTACTAAACTAATAATACAACCGCTTTATTCTGAAAATAAAATAGGCTCTGAAATTTGCAACAAAGTCAAAATCTGTATTATGATTTCGTGCGATCTACGAAACCTTTTTCAGATATTGTAGAGTTTTACAAAACTCTAAGAAAAATTTTGCAGGTTCTTACGATATGTTACAAAAGTTTCAAAAATTGAAATGAAATCGAAAGCTTCTAAAATACCTGTTTACTTTTTCAATTAACTAATTTATAGCTTTGAATAATATTCGTTCGCTATATTAAATATTAAAAATCGCAATATTTAGACTAGTTACAATCTGCAGTAGAAAACTTAGAGCTATAGAATGCTTCGACAGATTCCAGAAAGTGTTTAATTATCGTTGATCTTCTTCTTACGCTTGCTAGAGCCAAGGAAAGGGAGAACCACAAAACCTCAATTACAACTTACATTCACTATCTTCTTCGAAAATATATGTGAGCTCCACAAAAAAAAGTAAATACCTACGTTTAACTAAATGAGAAAGAAGATTGTGATAGAAATCTTGGCGATCAAAGATTAACCGTGGTAATGTATCAAGAATATGACCAACTAATAATTCAATATCAAGATCTTCTTTTTTAACAATACTTTTATTTGTTGAAATATATTTAATTGAAGATAATTTCTCGTTGATATTTGATAAATGTAAACGTCTTTCGCATGTATTCATCTCAGTAAGAGAACGATCCATAAATAAGTTATGTATAAAATATGCTAATGTTTTTACATTTGTACCTAATTTTTCTTCAAAAGAAACAAAATGATTAGTAAGAAGTTGCGTAATACCAGCAGGAGAATCGTTGTTTGATAGAGATCTATGAGCACGAACTAAATCGGCACCGAAGATTAACTGAGCAAAACGGCCATCTGTACTGCAATGAAGAGCGTAACGTTGAATACATTTTGTAAATAGATGACAGATATTTATCAAACTGGTTTTGACTTGATCGGGAAATGAAGGTGTTGTTGACATCATTAACTAAATGAAAAGACTTTATTTGATGAAATAAAATTTAGATATTATGATGAAGTTCTATATGATGTTATGTAACTATCATTAGCCAGGGAAATATCTCAATTGGTTTCAAGCTTTTGATTTCATCTTTTGGTTATAAGTAGATATAAGTGAGATTGAGAAAATTTCTAAAAGTATGCGTGATTATGAATATTTGTTATCGAGAGAACAGTTTTAGAGTTTTCGTCGTCGCACTAAAACATAATGATAACCAAAAGCAGAATTGAAAAGTTTAGAATAAGCTCGAGCACTTCCCTGGTAGATCGATATAATCTAATATATTTTATATCAAATATGAAGCTGCTTTATCACAGAATTTAAATATAGTGGGCATGATCTTGAATACGATGCGCATAGAATGCAGTGATGAGGTACACGTATTTTAAAAGATTCAGAATGCTTTTAAAAAGTCATTAAAAAAGAGTCTGCTTCTGATGAGAAGGATTATACTTCATGTTTTTGTTTACGAAATAATTTAAGATGTTCATTTTCCACTTAAACTAACAAGAGAATCCTATCAACTTTTTGAAATGAAATTTTTCGATTACATCTTGCTCCCAAGCACAACTCATGAGCGAATCGCTCAGACTGGTACCTGCCGTTTGAGCCTATGAAAACATCATAATGCGACTCACAAAGACCTAAAACGAGTTGTCTTCATGAGCCTTTGCAGCCGAGCTGTGGTCGTTTTACTGGATTTTTTTTGATTCACTTTTAATTGTTTACTAAAAAAATCAAAGAAAAAAAAATCTCGATCTGAAGTTTCACTTATAGATAAGTCTAATCATCTGTAGAACATCCTGGTAGTTTCAGCCGAAAAGAATGTAACCTTAATGTAAGCTCAATCGAATGCTATAAAGTCAGATACTTCTCCTGTTAGTGCAAATAGAAAAAACCTCAAAAGATTTACTCCTTCAGGGTCATGTAACTGAAATATGAACATTTCATATGGAGAACGGACAACATATATATGTGACTTCATTTGCTTGCATTACGAGATTGAACCATTTTAGAATCTAAACTGCTTTTTTGAAATATGCATAAATAAAAAATTTTCTATGTTGTATTAAAGATCAGTAGGGTACGATGTGAAAATATCGTAAAAATTGTGTTTTCTATTCACTTGACGGAGTAAACTCTGCAGCTAAAGGCATTTAAATGTTAAGAATGGCTTTCTATTTTTACGATATGTTGGGAAAATCTTTTATTGTCACTAATTGTTTTGTCTTTCGATAGAGTCTTAAAGAAACAAAAATAATCACCATGATCTATGTTGGCAATAGCGTTCGAATTCCATCCGATCGTGTTTTACAACGATGAATGCTAGTACATACGTGTCTATCTATGAAGTGCTATCAAAAAAAAGTAATTTCGTGTTTCAAATAGCGCCAATCTTACAACTCAAGGACAAGAAACCATGTATGCATGTAGCACATTTTAAATATAATATTCTTCTGTCCCAACTAAGTAGATTTATGGTAGCCAGTTGCTTTAACGTTTTTTGTATTCTCATTGAGTCACGCTCATGAGTGAAATATAAGCTAAGCAGCTTTTATCGGTTAGTGAGACTACTTCATATTTATTGTATATGAAGCTTTTTTTTTGATACTATTCTGCGTCAGAAATAAAAAAAAACATTTCAATGAAATAAACATTAACTATTCATATTAATCGACTAAGTCTTATTGGAAATGCATCTACATCTTTGTTTGCAGTCAATTACCAACCAGTTCGAACCGTAAGTGCATATAACTAAACAAAACAATTCTAAGTTCATTTTCATATTAATTTATCAACATTCAATTTAATTTTGAGTGAAAATTTACATGTCAAACGAACAATTCAGTTCAGGCAATAATATATTAGTACTATTTGTAGTTCAATAAAATAATGAATTCAAAATCAGGCACAGCACCCCAAAATATTACCTCATCTCGACTTTCGTATATTTTTTAATATAAAGAGTGAAGAATTTTTACGTTCAATATAAGCAATAGGATAAAGCCAATTAACTCAAAATAAAGAATATTAACATGCTTTCATAGTAATAAAGACATACTTGTAGCATTTTCTTTGAATTGATGTTCTTGTTATTTTTAATAGTTTTTATGTAGACGAATATTCTTATAAGCAAAATCAAATTTAAAATTAAAAAAAGTTCACAGACAAACTCTACTTAGTTATACAAATAAAATTATATATGGAAGAATTTTATACTTTAATTACTATGAACATCTAATATCATTATAAACAATATTTAATTCAAGATTATCTGTTCAACTGACCAATCTCCGAAAAAATTCATATATAAATTGTTATCTCACAATGAAATAATTCTGCTGTAAATGCTTTTACAGATTAATTAGTTAGAAAGATTTCTCTTTCATTCTATCAATGTATCAATAAGATTCTTCTTTAAAAAAATATGGTTGATGGAAATATTCAACGAAGAATAAACAATGCATTTTTACAAATAGAAATTATATTCTGTTACATAATTAGTCATCTGTTATAGTGAACACTACAAAAAGTTCAAGTAACCTTTTATTTCTTATAAAAATTTCAAGGAAAAAACAATCTAATATAACTTACATTTTGTTATGAGTAAACTTAAGTTGAACTTCTTTGTTCAATTAGCTTTTTTAGCCATCTTATAATGTCTCTCCTACAGTTTCCAAGTAGATAATCTTTTTTCTACATAAAATAGATGTCGTTAATATAAAATAAAAAAATACAATAAACTTAATTGATTTATTTTTTCAATAATACATTTCTTAATATCTTTCTACAATATATAAATTTCAAATACTCTATTCTAGATGACCTTCTCGTATAATATGATTCACTGATAACTAACGAATCTTTTTCTTATGACTAGTCAGTCAAGCGTTTCATATTAAAATCGAAAATTTTTATTTTTGATAAATAAACTTTCTTATGAATAGTGATTATTTTTAATGTAATTCAATATTTTAAACATTTTTAATTCATAATATTTATTCATATATATAAATCCTTCATTAAAAACATGCAATCATCATCATCTATAATAAATTCATCAATTAATCAAAGTTATGGTCTTTCACAAGAAGAGCGTACACGTATTTATCAATTATTAAATGAATTAGATAATGATCAATTACGTTTAATTCTTACGAAACATTTACGAGCGCCTTCAATATTAAATGAACTACAACATTATGCACGTACACGACTTTTTCAAGAATGTTTCACACTTATTGATAATTGTTATTCAAGTGAATTAGAACAAACATTACTTGCTGTAAGACAAAAACGTTTTCCACCAGACTTTTATCAACAACAACAACAGCAACAACAAACACAATCAAATTTTCGAACACCATATAATCAAGAACAACCAGCTTATTATACACATACAACAATACAATATGGTGGACAACCGAACTATCGCTTATCATCACCAGCAATCATACCACAACATATACGAGCAAGTAAATAAGTAGTAAAATATTTAAAAAATTATGATTAATCGAACATTAATTTATTATTATTCTTTGTAAAGAAGATTGATCAATTGATTTAACTACTATCGAAAGTGCAAATATGAAAGAAAAACATAATAATCGCCTCTCGCTCTTACTTATATATTTTTTTAAATCTTTTTGACGAACATTTAGTTTACCTATTAATTACAGATCATTTTAATGCGTTTCTAAACTTGTTCGTTTTTCAAATATTGATTACAACCATAAACCATCATTTAGTTGTGAGATTCTCGCTTTTCATCAATAGGAAAAGTCATACTAGCAAACTTTAGGTAAGTCTTTAGTTAATTTCTGAAATGTAGCTAAGACCTATCTATATTTTATTCGTGTACATTGTGTTATTATAACCTATAGCGTGAAAGTCTTGACATAAAATATCCGATCATTAACGAATAACTGTTTAGAACTAGTATTAGAATTTTTCGCCCTGTCCGAATATATGCTTGAAAATTCTTTCCGATTGTTTCAAAACATCCAAAATAGCGGTTGTGCGGAATAGTTTTCCAGTAAATTTTTAGGTTTCAATTGAAACCTATTAAATTCGAAATACAAAACAATATTTCACTGTTCAGTTGTGTATAGTGAATTCAACTCTACAAAGCGTACTATTTCCTGAGAGACTTTTACATTTTTTGTAGTTTTAAAAGCAGTTTCTGACCCATGAAAATTTCTATAGAAACTATAGTCTTTTGGTCTCCAATTCAGTTTGAAGAATAGTTTGTATAATCACTTATTCTGAAAGGAAGTTTTATTGTTGTACTACCCTACTTGGATGTTTGCTAAAGAACACTGGACTAGCTAATGATATAAACGTTACCAACAAATCATCGAATTGGATTTATTCAAAAATTGAAAGAGAATGTCTGCAAAAAAACATATAAAAAAGGTTTTTCTAAAATCTATATAATTCATATAGATGATAATGGATTTGTATAGAAAAGCAACAGCTTTAATGTCCATCAAGCATCCTAATACGTATTGTTTTCGATATTTGTGTTTAATGTAAGTTATTCATTGTTATCGTTTCCTTTTTTTATCGATATTAATATCTTCATCTTTGTTTTTGTCGATTTCTAAGTAGCTTTTTGCATTCTTTACATAATATGTAGATTATTTTAACAACAGATAATCCTTAACCCTTTCGCGGCGATTCGATTATTGTAGAAAATAGCTTCAACACATTCGTTTTTACGTGTATTCATTCTCGATAAATGCACTCGTTGATATTTTCAGTGTGTGCGACCATTGGTTTTTGTTTTTATCGTTGATATCATTGCATAGAAGGTCTTTTTTTCATATCGAACTGAATAGTTATCCAAGTTTGTTTTACTCTCTGCTACATGTATTATACAGTAGAAACGAAGTAAAAAAAATAAAATTTCAATTTTTTTTCTATCACACTCTTTTCGTAGCATTATCTTTGACTCTGGCTTCTCATTTGTATGAAAAAGACCTGAATTTTACGATGATTTATGCTCAGATGGAGGATTCTAGAACATTTGCATATGTTGGAAATATCCATATTTCGTAGCCACAATTTTCCCGACATGATATATTAGTTTTATCTCCTTTCGTATATGGTAGTTTTCCAACTTGTCCATATATATGTATTACTCATCATCCTACTCGAAATATCAGTAGTATAAACTGGAATCACGTTCATCAAAGTTTACAAGTCACATGCTGTTTGAAGAAACGAATACAGAGAAAGGTGATAACTCACTGAGTGATGTGAGTAGTTTGTACAATGATTTTTTCAAAATGCAATTTGAATCTTAAAAGCTTCCAGAAAGAAGTTATTGATGATGACGCAGATTTACAAGTCTGGGATGGCATAGAATCAGAATCGGATGTTGAATTCCAAGAAAATCATAGAATCATTGAAGAAGTAACACCAACTTCGGAAGATAATACGATCAATCCTATTGATTGCTATTGACATTTCATCACGGACGAGATTATTAGCCTCATGGTTCGTGAAACTAATCAATATGCAAAACAACACTTACAAACCCAGAAGCTCGGCAAACGATGAAAAAACTCTTCAATAGAAACCAACTACTAATGAAGAAATGCTTAAATTTTTGGGAATTATTACTGAAATGGGATTGGTGCAAATGCCGAAAGTGGATTACTACTGAAGCGAAAGTGGAACATACGGATTCGAAGTCATTCAAAATACAATGTCGAGAGATAAGTGTGAATTACTTCTCACATTTTATCACTTGTCGAACGACGATGAAGAGCATGCAGACCAATACAGTTTGTTCAAATTGAAATCACTTTTAAATTTATTGAAAGCTAGATTTAAGTCGATCTACATTCCTTGCTCAATTATTTCTATCAACGAAACAATAGTACCATGGAAAGGTAGACTTTTGTTCAAACAATATATTCCTGGAAAAGCGCATAAATATGACGTAAAGACATACAAGCGAGCGGCTACTAATGGATACACTTGGAATATTATGGTTGATACTGGTAAGGAAGATTCAATGGCTGGTTTTGGGCACGCTCGAACAGTCGTAATGGATTTGATAGATGGTCTTTTGGGATGCTATCGAACTGTAGTAGCTGACAGCTTCTTTACGAGTATTTCTCTTGCAAAAAGTTTATTGTGGAATGATAAGTATTTTATTGGAACATTGAGAAATAATCGCGCTAGGTCAGAGCATGAAATTGTTAAGAAAAAGCTCAGGTGTAATGAAGTTTATGGACTCTAGAGCGAATACGGCATAAATTTGATCAAGGTGAAAGATAAAAGAGACGTTTTGATGATATCCACAAAGCTATCGTATTCAGCAACTGTGCTGGACACCAAAAAAGCAAATAAAGCAAAAGAATGCATCATGAAGCAACATATCGTCCTTGATTACAATAAAGGAAAACAAGGTATAGATTTATCTGATCAGTTATCAACATACTATACATACTTCAGACGATCTGTAAAATGGTATCAAAATGTGGCATTTGAATTGGTATTTGGAATAGCAATAGTTAATGCCTATTTGGTTTACAAGGAAAATTATGACGCAAGACATATGACTATGTTACAGTTTCGTGAGAGCCTTGTGCGATCTTTACTTGTCGGTACGTCATTCGGGAATCTGAAAACTGATTCGAGACAACGGTCAACAAGCCAAACGAAACGCAAACTTGCTGATCACAAGCTCGAAGAAATGGAAAGATCTGACCACAATGTCCGAAGATGCTGTGCTGGCTGCTACGCGAAAATCAGACAACAACCATCATGAGAAGCAAGTAATGCGACAGCAAAGAAAATAGAAACATTCTGTTCTGGTTGTGGCAAATTTTATTGTTTTGACTGTTTCAACGAGAAACATCACAAGATGCAATAAACAAGTCAAACAATAGCGAGGCAGAGTAGATGATACATTACGTGTAACTTCCTGCTCGAGAAAAAGAAAGAAAAAGTGTTTTTCTAGTCAGTTTCGTGTTAAAATATGTTGGGTTTCACCGGTGGAACCCATCGCCACGAAAGGGTTAATAAGCTGCGCAAACATCTATGAATAAGTATGCTTCTTTTTCTGATAATCTCAACTAAGTCATCACACTCAGCATCATTGCTAGTGAACATTCACTTTCTAAATCAATGACCATTCTTTCTATAATTATCTGAATAAGAACAATGAACTCTATTGCTATTGGCAAACGACAGCCATAATAATTATATAAATATTCAAACAAGACAAATATTACAAATAAATTAGAGTGACAATAAAAAAATCAAGATAAGACAAGTATCATGTATGCATAAAATGAGTTATCGCTTCTATATGTTAATAGTTGTCGGTTTTTAAAATAGATTTTATTGTAGCGAGTTTTGAATTTTATACAATCACAACCATCATGCATAACAAATATCTTGTGTTGCATGAAGAAATTGAAAGGAGTAAAACAAACGTAAAAACTAAAAGCAATTCAAATTTCAATCGGAATTTGACATGAAAAGATTATAGTTCTTTATTAAAGAGAGATTTCGCTTATTTTTAATATCTCACACTGTGTTTAGAATTCAATGCTTCACAATAATGTCGAGTTGAAGTTATTTCATAACATAAACTGAGGATCGCACCAAAACCGCTATTTAGCTTGGTACAGACATTTTTTAGACTAGTTTTACAAAAATTCCCTGATAGTTGTTAAATCTTACTCCAAAAGGAAGATTTGAAAATATATTCAGAAAAAGCGAAAAATTTTGATTCTGATTTCAATCAACTGTTCTTGAGTGGCCGACAAATGAATGAATATTTTATATCAAGACTTTTGCATCATGGATTACATGTATAGAACATTACAATAACCTAATCCATCTTAGAAACATTTCTAATCGACTATATTAGTTACTATAATTCAATATTGCTTGCGTGATTAAACAACTTCAAATCGAGTTGAATGTTGATTAGTCATCTGAGATTCGTTTAGACTTTCGTGAGTCGTTGGACTAAATTTAATCATCTTTTATTAGAAATACTTTGGAGATATTTGGTTAATTAATTATTATAATAAAAATGATTGATTGTTTTCATTTATTGTTAAAAACAACAACAATAATAACTCAACTGAACAAAATATATAAAAGTACTATGGATGATTTTGTCTCGTTTGTTTAGTTCGACCGAATTTGAATCCTTCTCAATCAACTAATAATAATGATTCTCGCTCTGCTCAACAAGTTTCATATATGCCCCCAATTCTTTCTCATTCACAACACATAAGATCGTCATCTCCTTCAACTGCATCTATTCCAAATACTTCGTCTGCATCTGTTATTCAACAATATCAAACTTCACTTTTGTCGGTACCACCATTTATTCAAACAGCTTCTTCTTCTGCTCAGCAAATTCCTATTTTACCGTCAACAAATAATTCACAACATCGAACGAATAATTTACAGTATTCGACAAATAATTCACTACATTCAACAAATAATTCGCAGCATTCGACAAACAATGCACAACATTCGACAAATATTTTGCAGCATTCGACTAATAATTCGCAACACTTAACAAATAATTCACAACACTCGACAAATAACTCACAGAATTTAATAATCAATAAAATACATTATAAAAATTTACCATTTTATCATACAATAACGTGTGTTTATGAACGTTATAATGTATTTCATTATGATACATATCGAAAACAGTATACATCATATGATGAATTTATTTTACCATTAGATATATGTAATCAATTAGGTTTATCATATGATTATGATCCTAATCTTAATCTTCATAAAACAAGTAAATGTCTTCTATTACGTCTTGCACGTATTGATCAACCAGCAACATTTCATGGACAATATGAAGATAATCTTCCACCAAATTTAGCTATTGTTGTTAATGGACATACTTTAACAAATTTACCTTTACCAAAAGCTTGTACACGACAACAAAGTGATTTAATGCGTATTGGACGTGAAATTGATTTAACATCATATATGATGTTTAATCCAATATTAAAAAATGAACTTCGTATAACATGGACATATCGTCTAGAGAATACAAGTTTACATGTACAATATGCTAATGCTAAATATGCATTACATATATTTCTTGTTGAACATTTAACAATTGATCAATTATGTGAAAAAATTATAAAAAAACCATTAAAATTTTATCGTCAAGATTCATTGAAATTAGTAGCTAAAGCATGTGCTAAAGATCGTGATCTTGGTTTAGAAGTTAGTGATCAAAAACTAAAATTAACATGTCCAATTGATCAAAGACGTTTAAGAAAACCTATACGAGCAACAACTTGTCAACATCTACAATGTTTTGATTTAACAAATTATATTGGTAAGAAAAACATTTCTTTTACTCATTTTTTTTACATACATTCATAAGTTGACCATAGCTTTCGCTTGATTGTGCTTTGGAGACCAACAGTTAAAGCAAAAAGTATTCGCTCATCAGTATTTCTTCAGAAAAATATACGCTCAGCTGGAACTTTTAATGCTCTCGCTATCAATTGTGAATACTTATTCTGCTGAATCTTTGTGTGTATCTTAGAGCATGAATATATTAAGACTCTTAGAAAAATGCTAGATTTCAGTCGAAATAATGCTTCCTTATTCCTGTAAATGGACTCAAACGGCTTGTATCAGCCACAAACTGCTGTTGTCGCTTAGTTTTCGAGTTTGATTATTTATCAAATATAGCGCCACAAAAAAGTCATTAACTAGAAGACTTGGTACATATGCAGACCAGCGACACTGCAACACTCGCATCTTTTAATATACCTTGCCAATTAGACTAATTAGTGTAGAGAAAATCGTCAATCTGTAGAAGTATCCAAGATTTAACCAATAGGAAAAAGTGTAGCGCATTAAAATCGACGTTTTTTGAAGGAAAATTAATCTCTTCAAAACTGAAAACTATATCAATAGTTCACAAAAGTAATCTTTTTTCTAATTGTTATGTGTCATTTTCTTTATTGTTCATCATCATTGTTGCTCATATGTATTTTGATATTTCGAGCTTTTCTCCGTCATTGATACTTAAAAATTGTTTTACATTATCATTTAAATCATTTTTCGTAACTTGTGATTTTTAATATACTAAACTTCACCATGATCTCTAAGTCTATTGACGAGACATTATTCCTTCATTTAGTTTTAATCCATTCTCACGTCAAACAATTTCATTGTAAGACTTTATGGGATTCTTATATGACTTTCCAAGTTTTTCCGCAACCTTTCATACCTGATTTTCTGATTCTATCATGCTGTTTTCTTGAGAAAATGTTTTACCTATATACGCATATGTATATTTATTTATGAAAATGACAAAAACCAGATGAAAATAATGATTTGCACTTAAACAGTATGAAAAAATATTTTAATTGCATTACATCGTTAAAATGAACTACAATAATATAATAAACACTTTGAACAAAAGAAACCCTACTTCTATTTCATCAAATTCATTTAATTATCTGTAAAGTGATTTTTTAGCAAATCAGCACCACTACATAGAAGATATATTTTCAGTTCTAAAAAACGAGCGCCTACATTAAAAATCATTTAATCGCTTAAATGTGTTGATCATTTTGCTACATTCATCTTGAAGAACCGGTAATCATCAAACTCACCTGATTTATGTCCACTAAATTACAGTTGACGGAATGAACTTGTTGAAGCTATAAATCGGAATAATGTAACAATGAAGGCAACATTGATACGCGAAATAAAACACTCTATGAAAAAACGTGGGAACGAAAAAATTTTACATTCTGTACGTGGTTTTACTGTACTATTATGTTTAATGCGAAGCAATGGAGAAAGTCATACTTTTTAAATAAATTTTGATATTATGTGTAGAATTCTAAGTGCTATCTTTTGATAAAAAATAGATGTTTTAATCAAGGGTATACTAGAGAAGAAAATTCAAAAACCGTAACGGTATAATTTTTTTAGAAACCATCCTTTATCTGGATTAAAAATTCATTCAAAGTTTTTATCAGCCAAGTGACATGTATTCTGTTCTCTATGATAAATTTTTTGACAAGAAAGTTTTCTTTCTACTTGAATTTGTTGAAGCAACATGTCATGTTTTTGTATAATAATCGAAAGTTTTTCTAAACTTGGCGTAATTAGTGATACGAAACTACTTTATACACTATAAAGACATCCGGTAGAGTACAAGTCGCCTCGAGCGTTTTTCTTTTTCTATTTAAGATTATTATTCTTTTTCACCTTTGAAACGAATTTATGAAATATTACTTTGAACATATAAATATTTTCTTATACTCGTTTAGCTTTAAATGAGAAGTCCAACAAATGGATATGTCCTGTTTGTAATAAACCAGCTCTATTTGATGATTTACAAATTGATACATATACAGAATCAATATTAAATTCAATAAAAAATGAAAATATAACCGAAATAACAATTAATGCTGATCTTCAATGGACACCTGTTATACAATCGAAAATAGAAGATGAATCAATTGGTGTCAACTCAAACATAAATATAATTTCATCATCACATGATCCTATTTTAATTGATGATGATTAATAGTAGTTTTTTTTCTGTGATAAAGAATTTTATCGAAGACAAAAAATTATAAACATAACAAAGATTTTCTTTTCTTTGTTTTTCTTTTTTATTTTTAAGATAATGACTAATTTATCAGATGAACATTATGTTCTTCAATTAAAATCATTATCTATTAATGATTTACAATTGTTATTAACATATTCTGGACAATCACGAACGGGTAAACGTCATGAATTACTAGAAAGATGTTATTTATTAATTAAATCTTCGAAATTAATACGAGATAAACTTGATGAATTATATAATAAACGTTTTGGTCAAGGTGATTTACCGACAATACCATATCCACAAGATTTAAAAAATACTGTAAAAACAACACATCATCATTTACCTATACATCAACAACCAGCAAATGTTGATATACATTTTTTACCACTTACATTTAATGAAGAATTATGTGTTATATCACCACCATATCCAGTTCCGCCTGTTAAACATACAACAAATGAATCACAAAATTTACTTAATTTTTACTTTTTATTATCAGCACAACAAGCATCCGGTTTGAATGAATAAATTAAATCATTAAAAAAATCATTTGTTTTAATTTTCATTTAGATGTTGCCACGTCGACCTATTTTAATGCTGATCAATCAAAACTTGAATTTCGAAAACAAATTCTATTAAGATTTACAACGATTGGTGATGTAACAAATAATGGAAAATATGCACTTGATAAATTACCACCAAACCTTTATGTTTTTGTTAATAATAAAGTTGTTCCATTGCCTCAACCGAAACCAACAGCTAAACCAAATTCTGATGTTATTCGACCAGGTTAATACATAAAATTTATAAATATTTATGCCTGTATTTCATCAAAGAAATGAGATCAATATATTAAATGAAAGATATTAATAGATTCATCGAGCACTTATTCTATAATAAATATGTAGAACCTTTTCTTCATGTTCTGTCAAAACCAAAGTACTAAATGCATTTAATATTTCAAAAAAGGAAAAGGAAAACTTGTGATAAAATACTTCAAAGAAATAATTCTTTGATATTATATGTCTTTCAATCTGATCCAAAGTGTACATCATTAATCCTTCGTAAAAAATCTTATTTCTATGAATATTTCGTATATTTCTTAGTGCTCAGCAGTATGCATATTGATACAAACATCATGCTCAGCAAGACAGTGTAGTGTGCAAAAAGATGGCATTTTACTGAGCATGGTGGTTGAATAAATATTCACACTGCTGAGCACAGCGGAGTGTATCAACTAGCCATCGAAATTAAGCTTTTTATAAACAATTAATGAGGTAAACTTGATCTTGAACCAAAATTCGCGTTTCTTATTCTCTCCATATATGGAAAAAAATTTGAGTCAAGAAGTTCGTAAAATTTCTCAAGCCTTTAATAATTCACTCGAAATTTTTTCTCTAATTTGATGTTCTTATTAATTATTATTAAATAAATTAATATAATTTAATATTATTACTGCCTAGGTCGACCAATTGATATAACAGAATATTGTCGTTTATGTCCATTAATATCTAATCTAGTTGAAATATCTTGGTTTACACAAGATAGTTCAACACCATTACCACCTTATATTGCTGCCGTTTACTTAACTGAACGTAAAACAGTTCAACAATTATTAGTACGAATTTCACGTCCCATAGCAATCCGACCATCTATTGAAACACAACGTACAATAGCTCAAACATTATCAGCACAACAAACTTCACAAGGAATTGATGATGATCTTGAAGTAGCATCAACGTCACTTCGTTTACCACTTGAATGTCCAGCAATGCGTGTACGAATGAGGATGCCTGGACGAGCAACAACATGTAAACATGTTCATTGTTTTGATTTAGAAGGTTATTTACGTATGAATGAAAAAAAACCAAGTAAAGAAAATTATGAATGTTTTTATTGTTGAATTAGATTTATCTTATTTTTGTTTGTTTATTGAAGCATGGCTTTGTCCTGTATGTAATAAACCAGCATTATATACAGATTTATTTATTGATCAATTTTTTATTGATATTATTTGTAAATGTCCATTGAATGTCAAAGCAATTGAATATGAAATAAATGGACAATGGAAACCAATTGAAGAAGAAAAACTTTCACGAAAAGCACAACGTGAAAAAGAAACATATAAAGCTGAAAATATATATAATGGAAAATCTTCAATTGACATGGATCATTCAATTGACAATGATTTAAATGATGAACAAACACGTACAGGTAAATTTTCATTTGTTTATAGAGATGAAGAGAAAATATATCCTCTCTTTCGTGCTTGTTTTCTTTTAGAATCAACTGAACAAGAAGTTTCAGCACTGATTCAAGATAATATTCCTATTATAGAATTAGATGATGATTAATATTTGTTATACATTTAATTAAAAAAGAAAAAGTTTTTTTTGTTGTTCTGTACAATGTACAATGTACAATAAACAATAATAAATAATGCATCCAAAAATATATAAAAATATACTTTTTTTTTTGCATTAAATATTAAGTATACTAGTTTCTATGAAATACTCTTTTGAGTTCGTTATACTATATGAATATGTCGTCGTTCATCAATTTAACTGATATAGCAACTGTAAATAATGTTGAATACAGTGATACTTGTTGAATCATTGACCATATTGTTTACTATAATATATATGTATAATTAGAAGATTCTACAGAAGATTGCTAAAAATAAATTAATACACAAACAAATGAAATATTTTCTTACTCAGTGACGTTGTTCTCTCTGCTATGATTATTTATTGAGATACTAAAAGAAAACAAATTCAATTGATTTCTATCTATTGAAGATGTTATTGACAAAAAAAAATACTTTTTTTTCCTGTTCATGAAAAGTATTTTATTAGATTTATAAATCTAATAACATACGCAGCATTATATCTAAAATGTGTTTGTTATTTCAAGATTTGTTCCTGAAGAAAATGTTCGTTTAGAAGAGAGTTGAGTACAACGAATAATAACATTAAACAAACAATGATTGATCTGAGCTTAGTGTTTGAGCATATCTATTATTTAGTATGTAGATGAATATACAGAGAATCCTTTCATTGAACTAAATTTGATAAAAAGAAATTCTGTACAATATTGACAAGGTATGTCATTGACATTCTTCTCTTTATTTTGAAATTTAATCTTTAACTTTTCATAATGATCATGAATATTTCAGATTCGAACAAAATTCTTTAAGTGTTGATAAACATTTCATATTCTGCTTTCTCATTCTACTCTATAAAAATATGATAGTTTTTATCGATAACTTTCAATGAAAAATTATTTTTTTAAAAAAAAAAGTAATGCTAATAGACATCGTCCAGCATTTATTTTTCAACAATCAAAGTCGAAACAACGATTGTTACTGACGTTTGATCTTGAGCTTATGTTTATATAATAGTAGTTTCAAAATAAAACTTTTTGTTTAATACAACAGATGAGTTAGAATGCATACAAAATAGAAGATTTGCATTGATTTTACTATCACACTATGCATCATATCTCATTCAAGAATAATACGAGTCTACTTAATAATCAGTATTATGATGACAAAAGAGAACACATTCAATGTTATTCATAAAAAATAGTTGTAAACATGACTTGTCGGAAGTCAACAGAAGCATTAGTTTTTGTGGAAATCGATGCATCTAAAAAAAAAACCTAGTTCACAAAAGATTATAAAGTCATTTTTCTATTTGATTGGATAGTGACAGAAGAATATATATTGTCATTGAATAAGTATTGAATCAAACAAAAAACTAAATTGAAACTAATTGCTTGTATATCAGAATAATTTCCTTTGACGAGATCCAACAGATGACAATCGATTTTAATAGAAGATACTTTATAATAAAAATATTTCTTCTTTTTTCTTCTTACTAATAGTATTCAAAATGCCGTTTTTTGTAATATTAAATATATGATTTAAGATGAATCTAGTTTAGATTCTAAATAAAAAACTTGATTGTATGACATTCGGAAATTAAAAAACACCTTCAAAATCATGACTTCATTCAAATCAAAATTTAACTATTTTGAATTAGTAGTTAATTGAGCGTAACGTAGAACATCTAATGAATTCAATTGTCATGAAGCTATTTCCGTGACATGATGTATCTTGTTCAAAAAAAAAGAACGTATTCCTTTTTTTATTTCCATTCAACTGAAAAGAAGGAAATTAACCTTATCTGACATTCTAGGATTAGTAAGCAACTTTAAAATTTATTTTATTTTTTGTTTGTCAATCACGAATATCGAATTTTCCCATGAAATGATTCATTTATATATATATATATTTATATATCTTTGATCCATTAAAATTAACCAACTCTGATTAATGGCAGTTGTTTCTAATAAGACATTCTTTCTTAAGTATACGTAAACATATCATTCACTAACGCGTATGAAAGTCATTAGGCTAAGGGTCATCGAACAGGCGGCGTCATGGAGACTAATAAATATCGATTGATCATGATTGATGAATGTGTGTCAACATCTTTAACCTATTGATAATATTTCCGATACTTTTTCTTTCTTTCATTTCCTTAACAAAAAATACGTAATATATATATTGCGTCCTTGTCACCTTGTGTGATGAACGTTGAAGTTGATAGAAACACATTCTACTTCCAAAGCAAAAGAAAGCATAATAATACGTCTTCCTTTTCCAATCGTTCTTGGCTTGTTCTTCTCTCTTAAATCATTACACAAGTTCAGCTTCAACTGCAGATAAAAATCTGTCTTGTTGCTTTTACTTCTTGACAAATCAGTCTCAGCTCTATTCTCGTTTTTCTTTCTCGCTCAGCTATTCTTTAGACTAAACGAGTGTTCTCGCTGTCTCTCTCTGTCCTCTCTCTCTCTCTTTCTCTCTTCTCTTTCATCATACACAAGCAAGAAGAAAGACAGTCACTCACTCAGAGAAAAAAAGGAGAAGAAAAAAAAGTTCATTAAATGAGATCAGGCAAAGTAAC